AAACAACCACATAATAAGTGATAAGTTTCATTAGCCAAACTGTTTTTTGTAAATATTAAAACATAAATAACACTCTTAGTGAGGACATTACATAAGACTTCCATAAATTTTATATCTGGTTAATGATATTTTCCATCACCTAACGGAGCCCCTACCCCTACACATGCCCATCACAAAAACATGCAGAACTAGATTTAAATCAAAACATCTTTTGGCTGATTTGTATACCTTTTTAACTAGTGAGGACCAGTAAAATGTCCTCACTAGTGGGTTGTCAAAGTATTTCACGGTATAATTGAGGATGTGTGTATTTAATACTTCAACATTTAACTGAAAACAATTATAGAAATAAAATATGACAATTAAAAAAACTAAAATAGCCTACATGATAACATCATCAATAACATGAATCTGTCTAATTTATTGATTAAATAAGAGCATTCTGGGAAACGCCTTCAATTCGTTTTACCAACCCCTGAAGGTCCATGAACCAGAAGAGGATCATGGCAAGCATTCGTGGACTCCCACATGGCAATGCAGATCTTTCCCAGAATGCTGTCCCTTCCTTTAAACACAGAGCACTTCTCCTCGCTCAGCACGGCGTGATGGAAGATCTCCTGTTTCAACCAAGACCATCCTGGATCTACCGTGCTACATGTTCCTGAAGTTTGCAGCGCATTCCTGCTGATCAGTTCCTTCATTTGGGATGTCACCTGCTCACACAGTTTTCCAAGGTACCCCTTGTGTTCTTTGCGGCTCGGGTCCATAGCTCCTTTGCTGAGCTCCATGCAGAGAGGCTGGAGGCGACCCGTGTTGTAGATGCGTTGCTTCAGGTCGGCCAAGAGCTCCCGGGCTTCGGTGTCCAACAAGCCATCGGCTGTGACGTCCAGAAGAAACTTTGCAAAGTTTTTCTTGCAGTCTCTTTTACTGAGTCGAGGCAGTTCACGGAAAAACAGCACCGCTGATGCATCCTTTTGGGTCTTGAGAAAGCCGTGCTCCATCTCATACTCTAAGACTACGAAATACACACAAAAAGCATGATACTCATTAAAATATAAGGACAAACTAAGACAGGACTCATGTCCCACATTTTACAATCCTTTACCATATGATTTTCTTAAATACAGCATGCATTATTATAATTGTGACACCCGAGAAGTAACATAATTTGGCTGGAAACATGGCAAGAAGAAAGGTAAATAAGATAATATTTATTCCTAGCAAAAAAAGAATAAATAAATTAAATAAATACATACAATACAAAATTACAAAAACTGAAATGTATTTAGACAACCACGGTTGGTAACAATGTTGTAAAAAATTGCAAACCACATATAAAATGAAGGGAAATTGAAACGATATATTACTAAAAGTCATATGTTTTTTTGTTGTTGTTGTTGGTTTATGCCATTGACTGTAATTAGTAAGTAATTAGGTTACTGTACCAATTACTCTCTCTAAGAAGCATTGCATTACTTATTACTAATTACTTTCTAATCCATTATCAACCTCAACCAGTTGAAAAATACAAGGATAGACATGAAACTACTCTTTTAATTATTTAAAATAAATAAATAAAACTGCATAAATTATTCTTGAACTGACCAAAGTATTTAAAGGGAGAAAGTTACATTAAAAACAGTGGATTTAACATCTAATGTTAAAATGTATATTGTTTTTATATAGAATCGCTCCATAGTTTATACAGTTTTTAATGTAATTGTAATTAAATTACAGAAAAATTAAGAGTAATCCCCTACTTTACTTTTTCAAGTGAAAAGTAATTAAATTGCAGTAATTAACTACTTAGAAATGCATTACACCAATCACTGTTCTGGGGTGCGTTTCCCAAAAGCAACTATGGTCGCAAGTTCCGTCGTTACCAATAGATTTCAATGGAAATAACTAGCATAGCTAGCTAACGATGCTTTTGGGAAACGCACCCCTGTGCAGTAGTGATCAGGTGGAGCCGCGGTTTTAAAGTCCAGCCCAAACTCCTGCAGACTCATTTACAAGCACACAATTATGGCGCCACACAGTTTTTATAGCAATAAATAACAAACTAAAACCAAACTTATAAGGGGAAAAAAACAACAACATCTGAACATGCATCAGCGTCATTAGAACTACCTGAATGACAGAAACCATATTTGGGAAAAATTCATTTGAAGTGCAATTAGATTTTTTTTAGTTTGGCTCACGTCCCATTTGTTTAGATGGAGAGGGCGGGGTTTATGGCCTGTACTGCAGCCAGCCACCAGGGGATGAATAAAATGTTTTGGTCTCACTTTTCAGGATGCGTGAGGCACACTTGGTTATACAACGAAAGTCAGTGGGGTCCTGCGCTCTTTTGGAACCCACTGACTTCTGTCGTATGGACAAAAAAAAAAAAAAAAGTAAATAAAAGTCATACAGTTTTGGAATGACAAAAAAAAATGTATCCCTTATTTTGCACCATATTCATGGAAAGTTGCACAATCTCTCACCAGATTTGAAAAACTTGTGCTTTTGGTCAACACTGATATCCCCTTCTCTCTCGGCCTGTTGGGCAGCAGTGCGGAGAGCCAGCAGCAGCCGTGATTCGGTCAGATTCCAGGATATGACATCATCATCACGCAACTGTCCGCTCTCAGAGCCCCTGTCATTGTAATGAGGATAGTGAGCTGTGATTGGCTGGAGGATATATGTGGGTGGGACTGAGTTACTGTCTTTGGAGAACCATTGGTTTAGGAGCTTTAAACTCTCTGAATCTTTGGGAAGTTTTGATACCAGCAACTCAAACTCCGTCTCTGGTATGAGGCGTGGGATGGAGCGATGGCCGTACTGATTACCGAGCAGAGCCTGAGAAGATAAACATAGATACAGTATTACACTTATGCTCAGAGAACCAACACAAGTGTGATGACCAAAAGATATGCATGGATAAAATTAGGTTGCTGGTGAAACATACGATAAAAGTTGGGCCATCTGATATTCTCTGACAGGACTCGATTTCTTTAATGCACAGTTCAGTTGTCAAGTGATCAGCTGTGAAGATGTCATGCACTCCGCATCTGAAATCCACTACCTGCGAGAAAAACCCAACAAAAGAAGAAGAAAAAAACCTGCTTTTTGAACAGTGGATATGCCCAATAAATAAAAATGTCATGCAATTTTAGACTGTTTTTACATTTGCAACCAGGATTAAACTAGGCTGCAAATATATTTTCAGCACAAACCTCAAAGACGAGACCTAAACTTTGACAGTGGGCCTGCAACTCCGAATAGGCCTTCTCCCAAAATACATTCCTCTCATTCTTCATGTCTGTCAAAAAAATGTAATGTATTAATGTCAGGTCCTTAAGGAGTTCATTTTGTGAAATGTATTAATGTATATTAAATTGCTTATTACACAATTATGCTTATTTCAAAACCAAGAGCACCATGTTGGAAACGGATTGTCTATGCAGCAGTCATTTGTATGGTTTTGCATCATTATAGAAAATACCTGACCACCTCGATTAATCAGGACTTCAACATTAGTACAAACACGAATTCTAGTAACACTTTATTTTACAGACCATTTCTCACTTTTAACTAGTTGCTTATTAACATGCATATTACTAGCATGCTGGCTGTTTATTAGTACTGATAAAGCAATATTAATGCATTTTTCTGCATGACCAGATTTTAGATCCCTTAATCCTACCCAACACCTAAACTAAGAAGCAAATTAAGAGTTTACTGATGCAAAATTCATAGTGCAAATTTTTTCCTAAAACTGAAGTGTGACCCTAATTCTGCCTTCCTCCACTTAATAAAAATAAATGTAGAAACACTGCAGATTAGGGTTACATATATTCCACACTAATGCATTTTCATGATTTTCCCATCATTTGTTATTACTGGATAAAAAAATTTTTTGTAGTATTTTAGAGACTGCACACAAACTGAAAATAAACATTTTTAGAACCGAGCACAACTAGAAAATCCCACTATAGAAATCACCATTGCTTTTTTTTTTTTTAAGATTGTTAATTTAAATTAAATTTAAATTCAAAATTCCCTATTTCCAGGTTTTCCATGACCTTGAAATACAGAGCAAATTTTTTTTCCAGCAAAATACAAAGGTAAGGGGGACTAAACAAGCAGTGCAAGCCTTACCTGAGTGTGTGGAGCTGATGAACACCCGCACCGTTCTGGAAACAGGCTGTAGAGCATCAGCGCTCTGTCCCTGCAGAGCCTCCAATCCAAGAGCTTCGCCCATCTCCACCACAGCCATCCCGACCAACACACCTCAAGAAATCCCGAGTATGATCGCCTGCGCTCCTGTCCTCATAACCCACCCAAATCTGAGCGACCCAAAGTGACTCTACAGCACTGAACAAAGAGCTCCAGATCTACTGATCATCACTGCTTAGTCTGAGACGTGAAAAAATAACCTGAAAGCCAAATATTAATTAGATGAAAAATATGTTTTCCACAGCAATAAGGAAAAGCAAACAGCTCTGTTGCGAAGCGCTCCAGCTCATTTGTTTGTTCTCCTCTGCACCCGTCATTTTATCCACTGAGATCAGGAAGGCCGAGAGAGACCCGGTGTTTACGACCCACCGCCTGCAGCAGAGATCAGACCCTGGAGACCAAGAGCAGCTGCCCCATGTTTAATTAACCTGAACTGTATAAATGCATAAACTGCTGCTTTTCATTTATAATTATGAATCGAAGATCAGTGCAATCATTTTGCTTCAATACAAATAATTATAAAATGATTTTAAATGACAAGTATTGATGTTGACCTATTGAAACAGAGCACAAACCCAGGAAAGCAGGTGATGTTATTGTGCTGTTAGCTGAACCTCTGCATGTGTTAACTGTTACTCTGTGTTGTTTGTTTCAAGCCTCTCTAATGTGCGCAGAACCATTCAGTCCTGAGAGAGAATAACTGAAGTCTGCGCTCACTGAGGAATCAGGAGTCAGGTTGATGATATGAGTCACGATCAAAACTTATTCTGCCCCAGGCAAGATTGTGCAATATTTATGTAATATATTAAAATAATTTAAAAAAACAAAGCGTTTTAATTTTTACAGAAATTTTACTGGTTTCAATATTCTATTAAACCAATCTTATGTACCGTCTGTGTGTGTGTGTGTATATATATATAATTTAATAAATAATTTATGCATTTAGCAGACGCATTCAGGCTATACATTTTTTACCAGTATGTGTGTTCCCTGGGAATCGAACCCATGACCTTTTGCACTACTGACACAAGGCTCTACCAGAGCCACAGGACCATATTATAATACATATATATATATATATATATTAGTGCTGTCAAAAAAAACTAATTAAATCGCGATTAATCCCACCTAACATTAAAGTTTTTAAATATACTTTTATATTGCAATAATTTCACATTCAATCTTCAAACTAAATGTACAAACAAAGACAGTATATTTTTTAATATTTGTTTAATGGCACCTTTTTTTATGACTGAAGGCCAGTATCAATGATACCAATACTGATTTCTCTATAAAATTTACCGCCCCCCCCTAATATTTAACCATTGACTATAGCAATTCAACATTACAGTATAACTGAGAGCTATCAAGCTATCAATATATAATCATATATTTATTAGACTTTAAAAAATAACTTCTAATTTATGTTAACTTAAAACAATCTTCACATAAACCCATTATAATAAATGTAATATTTACCTGTGCTCTTCAGCAGAAATATACAGAAATTGAAATTTATCAAACACTAAATTCTAAATTAAATATAGATGAATCCTTAAAGCTATAAAAGCTATATTTTTCCCTCTTTTTTTATCTTTGTCCTTTGATTAATAGACATCACAGCAGCTGGTTATTAGGTTGTTTTGGCTGCTATTACTTTAAGAGCTGCCGCTGCTGAACGTGAGGCGGATCTGACACACATCTTATTTTCTCTCAACTGTTTTTACCTTTTCTGACCCACTTCAGGTCTTAAAGTCTCTACTAATATATAACTCCGACTGGATTCATCTGAAAGAAGAAAGTCATATACACCTAGGATGGCTCTGGGGTGAGAAATTTATGGGCTAATTTTCATTTTTGGGTGAACTAACCCTTTAAGACCCTGTTATAGTTAGCAAAATGTCTAATGTGGACTATCACATTGAAGTATTACCCCTTAGTGTATTATAAGTTTATAGAATGACCATTAAGAAAAAAAGGAAATTATAAAATAAACTCAAGTCAAATGTCAAGTCAAGTCAAAGTCACAGGTGAAGAAAATTAAAGCTAAAAAAACATATATTTTAAAGCTTTCTTTATGCAAAATGTAATTTCTTTCTTTTTTTTCTTTTCTTGTTTTTCTCCATGATTTTGGTGAGAATCTCCCATTAAAACAAAGCAAAGATATTGCTGTCTGGTGACCTGCTGTTAATCATGTAGCTGGAGTCCCGTATGTGACATCAGCCGATTTATGTGTTATGAGTGCACTGAAGCAGCTCCAAGGCATTTTCCACAGGGAATTCATTATGCTCAACAGTTAAAACGCAACAAGAGTGTCATTTGTAAACTTTTTTTAGACAGATGTCAATACAATTTTCAATTTTAAAACAACGCTTCAAACTTTCATAGTGAAAGCTATTGTGATAAGTGAATAAGCTTTTGTTTTTTTTTAGGAGGTATCAGTCTGAGGCTTTAAGGGCTTAGCCTAACATTCAGGCAGTCAGCAGGCGCAGGGCTTGCCCGACTCCAGCTCAACCGTGAGTCCTTTGCTCAGGAAGAAAGCATCCTGCTTGGGTTCTCTTCCCAGGAACTTCTTCAGCATGTCAACAGCATCCTCAGATCCTCCAGGCTTCAGAATGCACTTCCTGTAGTCCAGACCCACCTGTTAAACGCAGAAAAATGAGTTAGACATCCAAATGACATTTACATACAGGATTCACAAGCACTGTAGGTTAAATTAACCTTAGGGTCCATGATGCCTTCTTGTTTGAAACGGGCATAGAACATGTCCATGGAGAAGACTTCACTCCACAGGTAACCATAGTACTGAGCATCATATCCTCCTGCCAGGTGACCGAAGGTAGCAGGCATGTTTGTCCCTGAAAGATCACCGGAAAAACATTTTTTTTTATTAAAATGAGAACGAGGAGGTGCTAATAACAATAACAGTTTGTTCTGGTTCTTGAATCTGATTGGCTGAGAGATATTTCCAAACATGAGATTCACATTCACCCAGTATCACCATGGGAACCATTTCACCATATAATTTTGTAAGGAAAAAAAAAATGCAATATGTGAACACCTTGCTGTCAGATGTCTGAACATTATTGAGGACCAAGTGCGCCCATGTTCCTTGCCGGTGATGGCCATTACCAACAGGTTAATGCGCCATGCCACACTGCCAGAATCCTCAAGGAGTGGTTTGAGGAACATGATGGTGAATTTTCATGCCCTGGTCTCCAAATTCACCTGACATGGACCCAATCGAAAAGCGAGTTCATGCTACATCACTACCACCCCACAATGTACGGGAACTGGAGGACCTCCTGTCGACATTATGGTACCAGATACCCTAGGAGACCTGTCGCCACCTTGTCAAATCAATGCCTCACCGCGTGGCTGATGGTTAGTGGCCTAAAGGAGGTCCTACAGACTATTAAGGTGTTTTCACACTTGAGTCCTCTTTAAAAGAACCAAACCCAGCCCCTTTAAGTGGACCAAGAGGTGGACCAAGTGAAGAAGGACCCAGTTTTCTTTACGTTCACACTGTCCCTGTTCCTGAAATAGGACTCAGATCCTTTTTTGGTCCACTTAAGCAGTAATGGTGTCTCAGAGCTCTTTGTGTTCAAACAGTTGTTTTTTGGATCTAGTCCAGTTCTGTGTTTGATGTCTGACCGTATGGCCTCCAGAATTTGATCCAGCTGGTCTGGACAAATCTTATTTATTAAATTAGATTATTGAAATTTAAAAAATCTTACTGTTCAAAAACTTTTGACTGGTAGTGTATGTAGGGCTGGGTATCGTGTTCAATACTTTTTAGGCACTGACCGAATTGCCTCGATACTATCGAGTATCGAAACATATTTTGTCGTTCGGTACCAAATTTCGATACCTAAGGATTTAATCTCGTCAACATCAGTAAGCGTGCAGCATGCTTGTTGTGCCTAAATCATGTGCTGGTAATTAGGTGTGTTCGACTTGAAGCAGCGCTGCGCAGACCGATCAGTGTCTGACATCAAATTACCGTGAGAGCGATTCGAAAGCATAAGGAATCGTGTGCAGTCTAATCGTTCTCGCGGTACTTTGATGTCAGACACCGATCGGTCTGCTCAGCGCCGCTTCAAGTCGAACACACCTATTGGCTCTGGTGAGGCATCAAGGAAAAAGCGTTACGTTACCATTCACACGGTAGCATCACACTACACAAGACAATTTATAAAATCTATACTATGCTTTTGCTCAAAACTCACTTTAAACCACCATCGAGTGTTTGTAATAACCTCCGATTGCGATCTAATGAGGGTTTTGGTCATATAATGTTGCAGAAATATGTTATTTGTAGCCTCCAGCTAATCGCTACACCTGCTTAGCATTTCTCATGTAAACACTGTATTGTTATAAAAATAGGCAGAATCTCATGAAAATCACATACAAATCATTTACTGTCGTAATCGCGTGTTTCTTAACTTCAGGTTTCAGCCCTGTAAATGTTTTCCTGGAAGTGTAATGCACGCTTGTCGTCGGAGACAGGTGGGTTATGAACACATAATATGATTGACAGATGAGCAGCGAATGAGCTTCCTGAGTCAGAAAAGCGATCATGGAAGAGGAAACACAGGCAGACAGCGATGGAAGCAGTTAATGCTCATCAGATCACGTAAATCAGTGGAAAGTGAATAGAAATGATGATTCCGTCTTAGCTATGCATTTTAAAACGAAAACGCAGTAGTGTAAACGTAGCCTAGGGACATTAGTCCTGAGGACATCATCAGTGAAGAGAGGGCTCTGTCTGTCTCCTGAAAAAGTGGACATGCTCATTTTTTTTTAAGAACTGTTGAGTGATTTAAAGATATTAAGCATGCAGCAGTGATCCTCACATACTGACTTAAAATTGTTCATTTTGCACTTGAACTTTATTAAAACAATTTGCACTGATTTATTGTGTTGGTTACATTTTGTTCCTTTGTGCAGTGGCTCAGGAGATGAATCTGAGTCTGTAAAAACCTCAACAAAGTGAAAAAAAAATTTTTTTTATGATTTAATGTAAGTTTTTTGAGGTAA